AATATTTAATTGACAATGAGAACGAAAATATTACTTTTAATGAAGAGGCTAATTCATCTTTACGTATCCAAAGTTATTTAAATAAAGATGTTTTTATTAAAAATCCGATTGGACAAACTGGAGTGCCTATAGTCCTGTTAATTTATGCAGAACAGTTTTACTACAATATAAGCATTAATGGGGGTGATATTATCCATTATAAGAATGGATTACCTCCATGGGCTGCCAATTATGTTATGGTAATCTTTTTGAATTAATGGAAGTATAGAGATTTTAGTTGTTCAAAAATTCCTCGATAGACCGTATTTCCTCTAAATAGCCCTACCCTCTAGAGGTCGATCGAAAAAATAACCCCATGGGGTTATCTTAGAGGAAATAAGGCATACTTTGTACAGTATACAAAATATATTCTGCTTAATCCACCTACTTAAATCTCCTATCTCTTCATTTACGAGATTTATTAATGTTTTGGAACTTTTCCTGAGTCACGGAATTTTTAATTATAATTATTATTATTAATTTTAATTAAAAATTTAATTATTGTTACCAAGCCCTAAAATTCCAGTAACCAATAGGCCATTTTCTGACTTGGTGACCAGAATTCCGCACACCCTTTCCCCATAAGTAGCCCAACAATCATTTAACAAAGCTGCTCGTAAAAGCAAATTTTCAAAGATTAAGCCTTATAAATAATTTGGATAAACAATCTTTTGTTAAACTTAACCTAAAACAGAAAATAAATTTTGGAAAATTAGCTTTTCTATCTCATTATAAACTACACATTGATCTTGTCTATAATTTAAAAAAACATTAAAGGTTAATGGAAGCATTTCTTATGTTAAATTTCACGATGACGAGAATAAATTGGAAAAATGTCAAAAAATTATTGAAAAATTGCCTCCTCAATATAAATTTTCTAAAGAATTGTTATTATTAAAGGAAGAGTTGAAGAAACAAGATGAAATTATTATCAAAGGCAAAATTCCAACCCCCTTTAATGAGACCATTAGCATTAATTTCTTAAATGCGGCTTTTAAATGGCACCAAAAAAGTTGGAATTTTATTTTTTTAGTTAATTTTGTGCTTTCTTTATGACCACTTTTCAAACTAGCAAGGGTAAAGCGAGCAAATCCATCTTTAAATTAGCAAAGGATCACATAGGACTTGATTCTGGGAGGCTTCCGTTTTAAGGTTATTAACCAGCGGGTATTGGGTATTTGTTGGCTCCGACTCCAGCTCCGGGCTTATAAAACCTTAGCTCCACTCCGCGGAGACAGCTCCGAAGCCGGCTTCAGAGCTAGCTCCCGGAGCTGGTGTTAACTGCTCAACTATATATTCTACCACCGACTGATCGTCGGTAGTAGACAATTGAGTGAGACTCATTGGCATCTCACTCAATTGATCAAGTTGCGGCAATAGAAACCTTAATGTAGCCGTTTCAACTACCAATATTATCTAATAAGTTCGAAAAGTGGACATAAATAGCGAGAAAGTACAGTAATTTTTATTATTATTCAGTTGGGCACACTGTCTTCCAACTTAATATTACAAGAAACTGTTCAAGTGTAAATTCATTCAGTGTAAATAAATTTTAAATAAAATTTAAATTATAAATGTAGAATGGAAGTTGGATAGGAACGTCCAAAACAGTTGACTGTGATTGGGGAACGCCGTTACCTAATAAAACAGAAGAATGTCGGAAACATTCTTTGAAGGAAGGACAAAAAATACGAATTAGTTTTAAAATTGAAGGTAGCATGAAAGTTAGTTGTGTTATCGAAACTGTGGAGGATATAATATACACTGCTCCACATAATTATAAGTCCACCCCTTTTTTCGGGATTTTTCGACTTCCAGTGATCCAAATTTTCTGAAATTTTAGAAACACACCTTTTAGTGAATAACTAACAAGATGTGAATCGATTTTTGGCTGATTTTTTATTTAAAAAATTTTTAGACCAAAATTTGCATTTTCGGCCTCCACAAAATTATAAGTCCACTTTTCAAAAAAGATATTTCCAAGTTTAGGAAAAATCTACAAAAATTCTAGCAACGATACATAATGATATTATGAAGAAATAAAAAAATTAGACCCATATCTTTTTCTGGAGCCGAGATCCTGAGACCCCAAAAATCAACGTAAACCTGGGGTAAGGCTCTTTAAAAATTTTTTTCGACCCCTTATCGATTATTTTCAATTTTGATTTTAGGCTCATTCGAAAGCCCTTGAAATTTGCTACAAGATAACAATAGTCTTATTTCTCAGAAAAAATTCCATAGAGAGACACAAGACGATAAACTTTCTAAGTGTCATTAGAGGGCATTTTATGGGGCTGCATCAGAAGATTTTTGCTGCATCAGAAGATTAACGGCCCGTATCTTTCTAATCGAATTTTCTATAAAATATCATTAATGCTATCTTGTAGCAAATTTCAAGGGCTTTCGAATGAGCCCAAAATCAAAATTGAAAATAATCGATAAGGGGTCGAAAAAATTTTTTAAAGAGCCTTACCCCAGGTTTACGTTGATTTTTGGGGTCTCAGGATCTCGGCTCTGGGTAAAGATATGGGTCTAATTTTTTTTTATTTCTTCATAATATCATTATGTATCGTGGCCAGAATTTTTGTAGATTTTTCCTAAACTTGGAAATATCTTTTTTGAAAAGTGGACTTATAATTTTGTGGAGGTTGAAAATGCAAATTTTGGTCTAAAAATTTTTTAAATAAAAAATCAGCCAAAAATCGATTCACATCTTGTTAGTTATTCACTAAAAGGTGTGTTTCTAAAATTTCAGAAAATTTGGATCACTGGAAGTCGAAAAATCCCGAAAAAAGTGGTGGACTTATAATTATGTGGAGCAGTGTATAAAAATAAGAAAATTGAATTATGCATTCCGTTGTTGGATACTCAATATATTCAGGTAATGTTCTGGATCCTGAATAATTTTTTAGAGGGACAAACACCAAATTTTAACTAATTTTTCTTATAACTAGTGATCAGGGGCCTATTTTAATTGTCGACAGATTCTGCATTCTGTGCACAGAACACAGACCGCAGAATCTGTGGACAATTAAAATAGGCCCCAGACAGAGTCGAGATCTTGAACAAATTTCCCGATCTGTAGGATACTGGATTGTTAAGTCTGAACCTGGCCGGTATTTCCTCCTTTGTTATTAATGTATTTACTTTGTGAGAAACATGTTTCAGACCCCATCCTAGGATATAATTGCTGCCTGCCCAACCCTTAGTTAAGTCTAAAAATTAATATTTTCCTGTCAACCACGAAAGGAAATTTAAAAAAAAGTTTGAATACCTATACTAAAGGGCAATCTGACTTTTTTTAAAATTATTCCAATGGTTGTCACTTCAATCGGGACTTATAGTCCATTAAGTTATAGTTGATGTCATAGCTTATTAACTCAATTTTATTTAATTTTAAGGTAAATGCACTTAACATAACAGAAGAAGAACATCCTATTAGAATAAGAACTTGAGGAATATTTTATAAAAATTAAATAAAAGATATGCCAATATGAAAGTTATTCTTGTATTTACTCCTACATATTTATAAACTTACTCACACTTTTATTCAAAATGTCATAAAGTTTCGGAGCCTAGGGCATAAATTAGCATAAATTTTGATTTTTCTTGAGAAATATTTAGGATTTTGATTTCCTATTTTATCGAATAACGATTAAAAAACGAGCGAAGCAACTAACGGTATGATGATGAGGTCTGAAGGGTTAATATTTAAAATTAAAAAGATTTTTTTGGGAAAGAGCATTTGTCGTTATTGTAAATCTGGCTAAATCTGTTTATTCTACCGAGATGAGAAAAGTACTCAGGGGTTTGGGGTAATTTACCTGGTTATTTTAACCTGTAATAGGTAAGGGCTATTCCCCCGCATAAGGCTCCACAAGTCCTTATTCCTTCTCACATTTCCCAGGTTTCCTTTCCCTCGACATGTTTTGTTTCAAATAAAAATGAATAAAAAATATTTATGCAATATAAAAACTTTCACAGAAATTAAACTTGTGTTTTTAAATAATTGTTTTAAATCCCAAATAAAGTTTAAAAAAAGAAATGTTTTTAAATAAATCCCAAATTGTTTACTTTTAAAGTAAAAAATCAGTTTCGTTTAAAAATACTTTTTACATAGGAGGAGCTTCATTTGCAACATCCAGTGCTCTCCCATCATCATCAGGATTATCTTTAATAAAAATTTTTAAATAACTTTTAACTCCGGATATAACTAATCGACAGGTAAGAAGGAAAATTAATCTGTGATTCAAATAAAATTGGGGGAGGGATATTAATAAAGTACTGTCTCCAGACATGAACTCAAGGAATTTACCTTTAGTAGAGCGGCCAAACCTATCCCAGACACTTCATTAAACATTTGAGTGAATCAATTTATTAACTAATTATTGGATAAAGATAACTATAAAGACTGTTACGGTGATGTTCTCTCATCGTTTAACTTATAATTTAAAATTCCGGGTCCCTTCTTCTCCCAGTCAAATTCGGTATCCCCCTCATACATTGCTTATAAAACAGAAATAAAATTAATACCTCCTAATTTACTTCTTGAAGCTGTTGGGCTGAAAATAATTTATTTTTAAATAATTTATAGAATTTGTACTCTGTATAAATTAATTTTAATTTAAATATTTATAACTAGAAATAGTAGGATTTTTAATTAATAACCTATTTTTTGCAGAAATAAATGTGGAAATCCATTGTTATTTTTTGTTATCGTTTACAAAGGCTTATTTTCACCTAAAGAAGCCTATTTTGGGATTTTTTTGCCTTTTCCTATTTTTTATTTTGTTATCTATTTTAGCATTTTTTGGAACATGTTTAGGTCAACTTACAAAATTCAGTTTCATATTTAAGGATTTAGATTAGTATTTTGAGATTTCTACAAGCTAAATATCCTATTCCCTTTTATACCTATTAATTTAGGTAATTTATTATCAGAACATATTCGATAAATTAATTTTAAAATGTTGAATAATGCATACTTTGTCCAGAATTTCGGTTTAAGATGGAATTATTTCTCTTAATGCTGACTTTTTCTCCCAATGGTTTTTCTTCCAATGGTTTAGGAAAATTAATATCAGTATCCATTTTCTTTTCAATTGTTTGTATTTTCTAAATTTTCATATTTATTAATTAATATTAAAACAAATGTTATAATTAATAAGTATTTATAGAGATATTGAAAGAAATTTTCGATTTCCATAGAATATATTGTATGTCGGCGGCTAACTTAGATTCTTGACAAATTCAATTTGGCCGGCCAATTGGGACTGAAATCCAAAAATTTCGAATTTTCTGTGTGTCTCAAAGTTGGTGTTGGGATAGTTTTTCATGTTCGGAACCTATGCCCAATTGGCCGGCCATATGCTACTTTTCCTAAAATGTAATTTGGCCGCCGATATATGTATACAAGTACCCTATTCCAATACAGTAAATAAACATTCGACCATTTTACATGATTATCGTAAAAATAATTTACATATAACAAATTATATTACCCAAATTTGAGGATGAGTAGATTTTTTGATGTTATATGATGGTTTGTTGGGATCATTGTTATTGTTTAGAGGGGTTTGAACAATATCAAGTTTTGGTTTTTTATAATGACTGTTGGGATGAAGTGTACGCATAGCATTCGAATATTTCACAAACGAAATATTGCAAACAATCAAAAATAAAATTTGTGATGCTAAGACAACTTTTATTGTTTTAGTCATTTTCTTCTTTTTTCGACTTTTAAATGTTTTAAATTTCTAAAATTAATTTATAAAATACAAAAAAAAATAAATATTAAGTGAAATAACGGTATCTTTAAGGGTTAAAGTTAACCAAGCTGAAATGACTCTATCCGAATAAAAACTTCTAGAGGATTTAGCTATTTGTTTAAAAAGGCCTTCTAAATTGTCAGAGCCTTTAACAAGGTGAGGGCCCTTTAAAAAAAATTTTTCCAATAAGCATTGCTTATGCCCTTCAAATTCATCGAGAATTTTACATTGAGTGAGAGAAGAGCTCTCTAATAGTGTAAGGGCCCTTCTAACAATTTAAGTGTCTCTCTCTAAAGAATTGAGGACCCCCCTCTCTATTCAAAAATGAATAAACGTCTAAATTTTTGACTGTTTAAATGCTAGCTGATTGGGAGGAGGAGATAAAAATAAATCCATTGTCTCTCTTCACGGGCATTGATTGTAGTAGTCAATAAAGGCAATATTCAATAAATCCGCAAATATTTTACGCAAATTCTCCCCATTTACGCAATATTAATTAATTTCTCTAAGATTTAAAAGTTGAGAATAAATTTGGAGATAAAAAATAACATTGGTATTATAGTGCTTCAGATAACTAATTAACCCCATTTAAATGGATTATAGTAATCATATTCACTCTGAAATAAGTTCTTACTGTTTCTCTCATTCGAACAATGGATTAACAACTTTATATGGGATGGTTAAGTTATAAAATATCTGATTATTTGGAGACTCCGGATTATTTGGACTTTATTATGAGTAAATTTTCACTAGTAATTTTTAAGTTAAAGTGAATAGTTACGAGCAATTAGAAACATCGTCTTACTTATATAAAACATGCATTTACATGTCCATGCCAGCTTTAATCTCCGACACTGGAAGAGTTAAAAATAATTATTTTATAGCTAATTTAGATGTTTTTTAATAAATCCTACTTGAATGAATAAATAGGTACTTAATGTTGCAAATGTAAATAATTGCTCAAAACTTATTAAAACAACTTGCGGATTTTTGACATAAAATTGCAGAAAGAAAGTGCATAAAAACTCGCCTGTTAACGATGGAGGGAGTTAAAGAAAAAAATTTTTTCAGTGGAGGAGAGGTAAGCAAAGAAATAGCCATGCTATTGAAATGCTCAACGTCTGCTTGAAAAAACGCTCGCGCATGCTAGGTTTTCGCTAGGCAATGCCTGTCAAAATTTATTGAGGATTTTGGCATTGATTTAGAAAGGGCCTCTAGCATAGTAAAGGCCTTTAAAATTTAGAGGGCTTCTAATAAACGAGAGACCCTCTCTATTAAAAATTTGTCAGTCACTCACTCTCTCACTGTCTCTCTCTCTCTACAATGCCATGCCTTTCAAAATTTATTGAGGATTTTGGCATTGATTTAGAGAGAGACTCTAGCAATGTGAAGGCATTTAAAATTTTAAAAATAGAGAGGGTCTCTCTAATAGGCGAGAGAGAGACCCTCTTTATTTTTACTATTTAACAGACAATAGACACTCTCTCCCCTCATGCCATTAAAAATTTCACTCGTGGGCCTTCACATGATAAAAAAATCATATGCCCAACAATTTTTACAAACTACAAATCAAATTTTAAAAAAAGCTAAAAAAATATAAGAAATCCTTAGCGAGGGTTTATTTTTGAAATTCTAAATAAACAATTATCTTCTGTAGTTTACATATCTCCGCAGAAGTATATGTATATTAGGAAAAATAGGAGAATAAGTTGTCCTCTGCGCCTCCCCTTTTTTTGTTGATCCCCGAATCCTCCCCTTCCAACCGGCGCTCCGAAGATGCACCGGACCGAAAGGTCGCGGTTGCTAACTATATGCATCGCATTCATATTAGTGATGTTCAGGAGAAAAAAGACTCTGGAATCGGGAAACGGGAGTCGGTTCGGGAAATGACCCGGGAGTCGAGAATTTTCAACAATTTTATACACTAATATGCGATGCATATAGTTAGCAACCGCGACCTTTCTGTCCGGTTTTTAAAAAATTTTTTAAACATAAAAAATAATTATTCATCAAACCTAAAAACTAAATTTATTATTAATAAAGTAATTATTATTAGAAGTTTTAATTTATTATTAATCTCAAAACAAGAGTAAAAATATGGGCTAATTTTAAAACAAGTACTAGATAATGTTTAAGACCAGAATCCTGAAAACTCAATACAAAAATCGACACTTTCATGTAACTTTTCACCTATTCCATCGAACTTTTATAAGTTTGGAAGGCTAAGAAGCAGTCTTCTTCCCTTAATCTCGAACCCATAAGAGTTAAAAATAATTATTTTATAGCTAATTTAGATATTTTTTTAATAAATTCTACTTGAATAAATAAATAGGTACTTAATGTTGCTAAATGTAAATAATTACCCAAAACTCCCAAAACAATTTGCGGGTTTCTGACAAAAAATTGCAGAAAGTGCATAAAAACAGTGGAGGAATAGCCATGCTATTGAAACGCTCATCGTCAGCTTGAAAAAACGCTCGCGCATGATAGACGTCTGCCAATTTTTTCGCTAGACAATGCCTTTCAAAATTCATTGACGATTTTGGCATTGATTTAGAGAGAGCCTCTAGCATTGTAAAGGCCTTTAAAATTTAGAGGGCTTCTAATAAACAAGAGACTCTCTATTAAAATTTGACAGTCACTCACTCTCTCACTGTATCTCTCTCTCCAATGATATGCCTTTCTAAATTTATTGAGGATTTTGGCATTGATTTAGAGAGAGACTCTAGCAATGTGAAGGCCTTTAAAAATTTAAATAGAGAGGGTCTCTCTAACAGGCGAGACCCTCTCTATTTACTATTTAACAGACAATAGACACTCTCTCCCCTCATGCCTTTAAAAATTTCACTCGTGGGCCTTCACATGATAACAAATCATATGCCCAACAATTTTTACAAACTACAAATTAAATTTTAAGAAAATTAAAAAAATCCTTAGCGAGGGTTTATTTTTGAAATTCTAAATAATTTCTGTAGTTTATCTCCGCGGAAGTGATGTGCGAAATCGTTTTATTGCGCTTCGCTAATTTGTGAGTTTTCCGCGGTTCCCTTGATTTCATCGCGGAATAATTATTGCATTTCTGAGAATTATAGACTGATGTAAGAGTTGATTTAGTAACTCAAAACGCATGGAAAACTCTGAAAAAACTCAAAAAGCAAAGGACAGTCCCAAAAAATAAAATACATATAATAATAATAGTCGAATATGCATCGCATATGTGGAATTTTGGAAAAAATATTTAATTAAAACTCTAGAAATATTCAAGTATTTTATACAAGAGTTTCGCGACAAAGCGAAACATGAAAGACGAAGGTTCAAAAAGGTGAAATTTTGGCAAAAGGCGAAAGATAAAAGGTGAAAAGGCACGCTCCTGTTCTACGTTAGTCCGAGCATTTTAGAACCCGGTTCTTGATGCATATATATTTTCATCTTTCATAACTTTCATGCATATTTAGTGATTTTATTGGCATATCTGACTAACCCTAATCTCAACCGAACATTAATTTAATATTTTCTGTGCCTAACTTCTTTTATAAAAAACATATTCATCTTATTATTTTTCTCATTTACTTCTCTCTGCAGATTAACAGTATGTATACCCTTTGGAGTTATATAAATAAATCTGACAAATTAAAAAAATAACTATAAATAAAATTTATACATTCTAAACTACTTCAGTGAATAATAATTTAAATAAATCAAAAAATAAAATACTAAAACTACTTGGAATTTTGGTACTTGTAAAGATTTCAGTGCTTCTTATTTGGACTTTTTAAAAAGCGTTTACTAATTAATACTTTAATCGGGGATCCCCAGTTCTCGGGAATCGTGTGAGGTAGATACCTAGTATACATATTTATATATTAACATCGTTATATTTAAAAAATTTCTTAGGAAAGCTCTGAAATCTTTATATAAGTTGTGATTGAAAAATTTAATGGTAAAGAGTAGAGGTGTGGATATTTGGGGTGTAGTGTGGATTTTTAAAAGACACTTTTAGACTTGGATAAAATTTTAAAAGGGGAACATGTACTTAATACAAACGGGAGGGGAGCAGGCCAACTTACCGGAGCCCAACTAACCGCAGAGCTAAAACTTCTTTCAGAATTGTCAAATCCGGGGTGCCATGGTATGGTTCAATGCGCCTCGACGAGCTGAATCAAACTATACCAGAGCGTCCCGGATTCGACAATTTTGAACAAAGTTATAGCTCTGTGGCTCCTCAAACCTGCACGATGCTTAATTTTTTGAATTTAAGGTAAACGAAACTGAAATGTTAATTGCTTCGTGCAGGTCGACTCTCAAATTTTTTCTCTCAACTTTACTCTCATCTCTCAAACTTTTGTGTTATTCCATGCATTCGTAACGTTTTTGTATTGGTTTACAATGAATTGAATAACCCAATTGCGCTTTTCACCCTCAACATGAGTAGCATTTGCTTTAGCAACTACCATATTTGTACCGTTGGGACCAATTGGGCATTCCAATTTATATTCGCCTTTGGTGAAGTCATTTGATTGTAATTGCTTTGGATTATTACCATCCATACCATTGGTACAATTGTATGATAGATTATCCCCAACTCCTGTAAGATTGCATAATAACCCTTTATATTCTCCAAAGCCATTAGCTGTTTTAAAATTATAAAAAATAAAAAGGAAATTTAAAATAATATAATGGATAAAGTAAGAGCGAGGTAAAAGTTTAATCTCGGCAGGCTTCGATCCTGCGACCTCCTGGCAGTTATTGCTAGGCGCTTACGCTCACCACGTACAGGTGCTCTACCAACTGAGCTACCGGGACGCTGCTTTCAACTTCTCTTTTAATAGATCTTAAACCCCCGCCTAGTATTACATACATATGTGTATATTTAACTTACATGCAAAGCAATTCATCGTGGGTTGAGGATTAAATGTTGGTGCCAGTTTCAATATATCTGCGACAGCTAACATACCAATAAGTATAGCAAAGAAAAATTTCTTCCCGCAACATTGATTAGAACGGTAGTAGTATCCATATGGATAGGAGTGACCTCCAAAAGTATAAACAGGTCCCCTGTAACCATATGTATTTGAAGAACTGGGTGGAGTGAAATTTGGTGATTTACTAGGCGATTTGGATGAGCGTGACGAACTGTATAACTTTCTGTTTGCAGATCTATTTTTTAATAAAAGAATATTATAATAATCTATTAAGCATAATTTTTATGATAGATAAACTTGTACATATAGTATGTGTGTATTTTTTGATTGTATAACTAATCAGATATAACTAATCCCGGACTTTCAGCTATGCCTCCGAAAATTTTGTGAATTTTGGAAGGCTAAGAAGTATGTAGTATATTACTTTTTCTTATTAAAAAATTTCCCTGGAAAATATTGTCGTTTCGGATTTTGTTTCTAGTCGAAGAAAGTACGCGTTGCGGCTCTCGGGCATCGGATTAATCCGCACTATCCCTATTATACTTATTAGTAAAAAGTTATTACAAAACTGCCTAGGATTTGCAAGCAAGCTAGACGACTACCAGTCGGGTTGCCACATGATTAATTGTCATGCAGCATGGATGGATTTAGTTGAGAATAAGTCAAGTTGAGTTTTTAAAAATTTCTCGGGTCAAATTTTCGAGAAAAGTTTGGATTCCGGGTAATCTGCCCTATCTTTGCTATAACGGACTGCACTACAATTCATATGAAATATAATCGTTACCGTATTTTCTGTTGTGAATTTTCCATTTCTTAAATAAAATATTAGGATTTTTTGATAAATTTGAAGGGATTTTTATATTCATACAAAAATTTAAAAACTAAAAAACCGTTAATTTCATCCTCATCCTCCCACTCATCTTCCTCACAATTTTCTTCATCCTCCTCCTCCTTATTGTTTTCAATTTTTGTTTTCTCACTTGCTTTGTTCAACTCCTTCTTTTCCTCTTCTTTCAGCCCATCTGGTGCAACAGAAGGATTTTTCACGCTCAAATCAGTTGTGAATTTCTCTTCTCGAGTCTTTTTGTTTTTTAATTTTTTACTTTTTTTATCAGCATTATTTTGAACATTTTTATTTAATTTAGCATCTTTACTCTCTTTCCCTTTCCCTTGTTCATTTCCTTTACTTTTTCCTACTACTTTATCTCCTCCACTCTTTCCCATTTCAAACTCATTTAACATTTTCCTTCCATAAACAGGAATATTGCTGTATTCAACACCGCTATTCATATCAGAAGTCAACACGCTTTGAATTGGTCCACCATTCAACACAGGAGGTGGTTCTTTCAATGGCACCAATCCTTTATTTTTGATTAATTTTTCTTATTTTGAAAACAATAAATAACTTACCCCCTTCAATTCCTTTACAAAGGACGAGAAAAAAGAAAATTAAGGAGAATTTTAAATTCATCCTAAAATTGAGAAATGAAAGTTTTTACATAGGGGAATTAATGCTAGTGTCTAGAGGTTGGTTGGAACAGTCAGAGGTGTCGGTGTTGTGACCGACCCACCTCTACTAATGTCCACCTTATAATATTTATTTTTATTCATGGAGATAATATTATTAACGAGTTTATTTGTTAACGGAAAAGTTCCCACTCCGAAAGTTGGGAAATTATAGACGTTCTGGTAATTCCTCTCTATGAGTGAATATTATAAACCCTCCTAGCGATTCATTTAGAATTCTCTAGACCTTTATTATTTAAAATACCCCTAAAACCCTCCCTAAAAATAAGAAGACAAATTTAGCAATTTTAAAGTAATAAAGAAAGGGACGACGCTGATTTTATATATCCCCAGAGTTGCGTCGTAATCTAAAATTTTTTTTCGTAATCGTAATTCGTAACTCAAAAAAAATGCCTTAATTCGTAATTTATACAAAATTCGGAATCGCAATTCGTAATGCAAAAAATTTATAAAAAATATTTAAATTAATTTAAAAAGTCAAATATTTATTAATATGTAATTGATGCTGCTTCTATTAATCCCTCCAAGTCCTCTTATTAAGTAATATCAGTATTACTTCAAACTCCAATTAATTCCCTGATATCGCTCTTAATCCCTTTAATCATCTGATATCTATTTAATCAATCATGCGGAATCATCGCCCCAGATTAAGGGTTTGATATCATGTGATATCACTCTCACTTAATCCTGACAAAATTTAACAAACTCTTACTTAATACGAACTTTCAAATCCCTACTAATCAGTAGTATATACTCCAGTTTTATAACACTTTTTGAAAAAAAAGTGTTATAAAACCAGAGTATATTTTTGCAAAAATTTAGTTTTTAAAAAGGGTAATATGAAATAGAAATTTAAAAAAATTTTTAAATCCTACACCTATACGACTAACTCTAAATTTTCAGATTTACTTTTCAATTTTAACTCATCAAAATTTTTTAATTCTTAAACATTTTTACCAAAAAATTTAATTTTCATTGAGCGCACAATAATTAAAGTCAAAAAATAGTTTTTGACAATTTTTACGCGCAAACGCTAATTACCCGCAAATAGAGAAAAGTTTGTGAAAGAATAAAAAAATTTTTAAAAATAAACGATTTTACATTTTTTCGATAGGTAATTATCTAAAAAATCTTTTGTGTATTTTTATGTAAAAATAATATTTTTTCACTATTAATTGAAATTTAAAGATATTTCATTTTTTTTTCAAAAAACTTTAAAAATAATACTAAAACGTAATAAAATTTGCTAAAATTATTTTTTATATATAATTAAAAACTATATCCATATAACATTACCAAAAGATTTTTTGTATTTTAAAAAATATTTTAATTTTTATTTTCAATCATTTTTCTTTTATATAATTTTACAAAAAAATTTTTATTCTATTGAGCGCAGTAACTATTTACCCAAAAAATAAATCGGAAGTTTCTTTCTAAAAAGGACGAAACAATTATCAAAAAAATTATGTTTCATTTTTAACAATGAAACTATTTTTACTGCGCGAAGCAATTACAAATATTCTTGTAAAGAAAGTTTTACTGCGCAAAGCAATTGCAAAAAATTCTCTTAAAGAAAGTTTTAGTGCGCGACGCAATTATCCAAAAATTGATGTTTTACAAAAAACAAATTTTATTACTAAAAAATCTAAATTTTTGTGCTTTTATATTTGCGAAATTTTATAAAAATGTTTTTAGTTAAGTTAAAAATTATAAATATATATACATCGATTTATAAACATTTAAAGATTTTTCAAAGTGTGTTAAAAGTTGTAATTACACGTACACTTGAGATTTTCAAGACTTTTGGTCTTGCGTCTTGACTTATGACTTTTCTTGGGTTTTTCCGGTCTTGGTCTTGGGGTGAAGTCTTGTTCTTGAGTCTTGGAAAATTTTCAATCTTGTAAATCTAATACACACGCATAATACAATTTTATTGGCAAAAAATTAAAGAATTTTATAAACCAAACCTATAGGTTTATATTGTGATTTATTAAACATTTAAAAAATGAGGGGGGTGAAACATTGATTTTTAATCTTTTTTTGAGATTTTATATTTTTATTATTTTTTTTTGAGATTTTATATTTTTATTAGTTTTTTTGAGATTTTATATATTTTTTTGTATTTTTTATGTATATACACGAGTAGGGTTCATATTTTATATAGGAATTAGTTTCCGACCTAAAAACAATGTTAATTTTGCTGATTCAATGACAAATGATTTTACAGCAACAACAATATCTGAGCATGTCTCTTTTACAAATAACCAAGCTGAAGAAAACACACTTGGTTCGTGATACACTACTGTAAATGTTGGTTTGTATACCTGTTTCCATTCTTTCTTTTCCTCATCGTAAATAAACCATACATGACCAGTCGGGGTCCAAGTTATATTTGTAAAATTTGGTTGAGGGGGTAAATGTAAAACATGTTGGAAGGTGCTGGGTTTGGGCGTTCTTCGAAATAATGATACTTTAGCTTCCTCGACTTTCCATATTCTTCGATATTCACAGTACACATACCCAAATATAAAAATAAAAATAATTTTATTAAACATTTTTTATTAACAATATAACGAATAATTATCACTTATATATTTTCATAAATTTTCTGATTGTTCAACTGCTTCCAATACATCTATACATTCAATTGGGTAAAAATATTGATGTCTTCTTCCTCCAGCAACACAAATAAGTGGTAATTGTGGATACGCAAGATCAATTCGGTGTCGAACATAGAAATATTGTCTTATTGTAACACGTAAGTATCCACGTAGAGCAAATATATGATCAGCCCCCATCTTCGTTAACTTGCACGGATATATTTCCATCTGTTGGTGCTTTAGATGATTTGTAATTAGAGCTTTCTTTCTAGGTTCAGTAAAATTCCTTTGACCAATCCCAGATATAGCAACATCTTCATTAGTCATGCTTGTAAGAGTTTGCAAGTAATTGATATTTTCATTATATTTTTTTCGTAGTTCGCGATGAAGTGATTCCGGGGCACATCCTCCATTGAAACGACAAAGTATTTGAATAAGTGGTGTTAATTGAACGTGAGGTGAAGAACTAATAGATTCAGGCATGTTGTCGCTAGTACGCATGGCAAACTATTTAGAATAAAAAATATTGCTCTTATATACTAAGAGGGCCTTTGGCAAATCGAATACTTGTCATCCCATCATTTCCTTTTTTACGAATATTTGTATGTAGTCTAAATAATACAGCCAGGACAAATAATAAACCCAAATCCAAAATATAAGCTAAGACAAGCAGTATATCTTTGTTTGGAGATATAGCAGGACCAATAGAAAGGGCATGTCCTCCGTCAATCGCAAAACAAGCATTTACATTTGGAGGAATCGGGCCGTGCAATGGAAATAGGATATTACTGTCATTTTGAGATAATATCACACAAACAAATGAAAATAATATTAAAATTGATAATTTCATTTTAGTAATTAAATTACAATATTAACCCTTATCTTATATACGAAAGGTGCTGAATGAATCGTCTTAATAAAGCGTCACGGGCTTCTGGGGGAATTGAATGCAATTTTTGTAGTGTTGATGAAAAATTATTCTTTGAACGCAATATTAAAAAATAAATACAATAATGGCCACAGGTATCTGATAGAGGGGATTGCAAAGGAAATTTATTTTGTTTTACTTTTGAAAAATTACCAAGCATAGATTGTCTCATGTCACAATTCGGTTCATCTGCAAAAGAGTCAAAGTATTCCACAGTACTCGGATTATCAGAATAACAAGCAACCCAATGTTCACCAACCGTCCCTTTACGCATATTATTTACAATAAAACAAAAAGGCTTAGTCCATTTTTTATTTGGGATATTGTCAGAAGAAAAGACACCAATAAACTTATTTTTTAGAGGTTTATATTTTTTAAGTAGATTTTCGATTTGGAGAGAATTCATTTTAAACAGAACCATCAGTGCTCAGCACACGATCTGCATTTATGGACATTATTGCATCGAATTCGCCCATGATTATCATTTCATATCCCTCATCCTTTACAGGCTGATTGAACATACAACGAACAGTTGTTGTTCCTTGTCTAATGAGTTCCAGCCCATTGGTATCCTCAAGCGTTGAAGTCATAGGTATAACAAAGAAACAAGACGATTGCGCAAATTCTTTCATTCCTATGCTTAAAGTTCTTTGATCTGAATTTGGCCAAGCATCTAAGTCCATACCTACATACATATCAACAAAAGCACGTACAAAGCTGTCGTTGGAAAAATCAAGCTCATAAGGAACAGCTGGAAACTGGAACCCACCAAATTCTGCTGAAACAGTTCGCAAATTCGCATGCTCAAAATTGAACGGAGACAACGCAGTATTTCCAGTATATGCAGGTGCGCTTACAAAACAAATCACTAACCGTCTAGGACATGTACTAGTGAACGCAGCATGTGTAATTTCCTGGCGACCTTTTCCAAGAAAAACGCTCCGAATTTCAATCTTTCTATATGCATATTTTGCAGGCGTCTGTTCTAAATGTCTAGCAATAGCATTATTTAGCGACATACTTAAATCAACTTGTTTAACAAAAATTCTCATATCATGAAGTCGTAGGCGGTATGTGCTTGTATTATTTAATAAATCTTCACCAGCTTTTTTACGATATTTTGGTGCATGAATAAGGAATTCATCGCTATTTCTGTAAAATGTCCAGAGCACATCACTATTAGGTATTAAAAGCTGATTTTGTCTGGCCATATCATAGTCCAAATGCGACAGTAA